AAATGATAGTTTGCCTATATTTAAATACTATTTAGTAGTAATTAAAGACTAAATTTATTTTTTGGTATAAGTAATTTAAATTTTTTCATTGTACTTTTGGTGAAAGTGTACATCGGTTCCCATTTAATAATTTCTATGCAATGCTCAGTAACTGTTATTGTGTCAGCATTCTTATAATTTTCCTTTTAAATGTGTTTCTATTAACGTTTCTCACCCTCTCGGCCCCCAATCTCTAACGTATTTGGTCTCAAGGATATTTTTCAGAAGAGCAGAGTACTCAAGGAAGATTGTATTGTCACTAGAACCTACTGTGTTACTTATGTGAAAGATGACTTGGGAGAGTGAGTTTTGGTGCAGTTTAGAGTATCTATCTCCTGGCAATAATTTCTGATTCTTCCCATCTCAGTGGGTCCACTGAGTATGCATATTTTGGGAATTTAAATTCCATTCCACAATTTTCCCTCTCTATGTTTCTAAAAAAGTAACCTTTGTATTGACAAAAGATGTAAAAATTCCCAGTGAATGAAAGAGACACCATGTGAGTATTTTTATTGACTGTTGATGCTAATGTAAAAATTAGTACCTTTTGGTTCTAGAATTCAATTGCCATGAAATCAATTCAACTCATAGTGAGTCTGTGGGTTTCTGAGACTTTTAAACATCTTTATGGGAATGAACAGCCTCACTTTAATCCCATAAAGGTAAAGTGAGTATTAAAACTTCCAATATTTTTGGCCAGGTAATATTCAGAGGTGGATTTTAAGTGTAAGATTTTGAGTATTATCCACCCCTCCTCCTTTGTTTTATTACCTGACATTTTATGACAATAGTAAAAAATTAGTCCCGTTATTTTTCATATTAATTACATCTGACTAATGAATGCTGAGGTGAGAGTGAAGCTGGTTGTGATGATGGTTATCTGTTTCTCTGGGCCATGATTCCTAATGGTTTTGCATTAACATAATAATGTAGTCATTCTCTCTTTTGTGATTTAATGCCATTCCACATTTTGTGATCTTTTTTATATGCCAGATTTTTTTTTT